CCCCAAAACCCCAAAACCCCAAAACCCCAAAACCCCGTGAGAATCTTAAAATATTGAATCATCTTCTTTAAAATTTTTAGTTTTCAAAATTAAGTAATGTAAATTCTGGCAAACTTAAGCTATATCATATGTGTCTAATACAGAAACATATTGCTGTGGAGAGGCAGGATCAATTCTTAAGACAGTGTTGTAATCCTCTTGAGCCAGCTCCTCAAGTCCCTGAGCTTCATAACACTTCGCTCTTTTGAGATAATAATCACTCTCTTCAGGGTCAAGAGTAATGGCTCTACTGAAATGAATTCATGCTTCACTTGGATTATTTAGTCCCATTAGAGCAACAGCTAGTTCAAAATGAGCTTCTGGAGTTTCTACACTGAAAAGGAACTTCTTAAATCATCTAACAGATTTATCAAACTCTTGTTTGCTATTGTACACTAACCCAAGACTGAAATAAACTTTAGGGGTGTAGACTTGAAAGGTAAGGGCTTTTAATAATTTTTCCTCTGAATTTTTAATCATTCCTAACTGTCTGTCAATCTCTCCACTCAAGAAATATGCATCTGAGTGATCATGCCCTTGCCGGAGAACATTGCCAATAACTCTCTGAGCCTCTTCAAGTTTGCCTTTACTCAGTAGCATCTGAGTCTCAAGGATGGATTTTTTAACAGATTTTGATACCTCCTTAAAAACCTCTGGATTTTCTGCAAATGGCCGTAACTTTGGAGAACTATTCCTATTATCTCCTTTCTGCTTTTCTCAACTGAAGCAGCGGTATTTACCAGGAGATACTTTTTTGGCTGCGAATCTCTGCTCAAGGTTCATAGGTCTGGGATAATTCTCAAAATTTTTCCTGAGATGGGGTTTAGTATTCCCCTTTTTGTCATGATCAATTATGCTCATATCTCTTCCAAAGCTGTCATACTTCTCAGCATCGAAGTAGCCTTGTGACTCAAAGAAATTTTCTTGATCTTCCTTGTGCATTCTCTCATAATATTGGTGAACTCTTGTAATGAGAGTATCAACATCACTTTGGTCCATCTTGTTCTCTTCCTTGGGTGCCTGGCTCAAGACTGAGTCTTGAGGCAGCTCCTGAGTCTGGTTTTGGTTATAAGTTGATCTCCGGATATTATTGCTAGAGTTAATGTTCTCAATATCAGCGAGGGATGTCTTAGAGAGTTCATTCTGTTTCTGAATTTGACTGTCTTCGTACCTAATTCTGCTTAGCTCACTTTCAACTTCTTGACGTCTCTAGAAATATGACAATAATATTTACAAGAGTTTCTTTGCGAAGGTTCTTTTCTTGAGTGCTATTTTTCAGAAATTTCCTTGGTAACAATAGTCATAAAAGACCGAATTCTTGGATCAATTTGTTCATCCTCGTCACTATCTTCTTGCTGACTGTGCCTAGGTTGATAATTCTATAGAAAAGTTTCAGGTCATTGAGTCGATAACATCTCCTACTCGAGGAGCCCAAAATGAATACTTACACTTCTTGAGAGATATGAGTCTCCTAAATAGTCACTTTGCATTTTGAAATTAAGACTTTTAAATTAAATATATTTAAGTGGGGTTTTGGGGTTTTGGGGTTTTGGGG